CCCCCCCCCGCCGCCGCCTTCCTCCAATCACGAAAAGAATACACGCCCACTGGATCTAATACAACAAGAGGCGGGAGAAATCACTCCCTTTTCCTGCCCACGAACTCCAACTCAAGCGTCTCAAGCGTGGGACCCAGGGCGTCTCCGGCTCCGCGGTCGGCCAACGACAGCTTCGCGAGTCTCGCGTCGTTGTTCCTCCCGCCGTGGAGGGTCACGACGGCCGACGACGAGCACGACGACGACGAGGAAATACTCCCACCCAACCATGACGCCCTCGGCACCGACGCTGAAGATAGCAGCTCGCCACCGCCGGCGTGGTCGCCACCGCGGCGTGAGAAGGATTCCCCGTATCCGTCCGTGCCTGAGGATACCACCGCCGCCGCGGCGGCTGCGGTCGCCGTCCGCCTCGACATGAACGTCGGCCACCGGCACGACGACGGCTGGGAAGAGGCGCCGCCGTTGCAGCCACCACCACCGCCGCCGAACCTGAACAGGGCCGGCTTCCGGGCCCTCGGCATCCCGCGCCGCCAGTGGGGGTCGAGCGAGGCCACGGACGGCATGCCGTGAGCGGTGACGGGAGGGGGAGGCAGGCGGCCTTCGACCGTGGGCAGCTGCCTGCTAACCAGCGCCGTGTCGGCCCAGGTGGTCGGGGATTCCCCGCCGCTGCTCACGCCGGGCGCCGTCCTCGCCGCCGCCGCCGGTGATCTGTTGTATTCCTCGGCCGCCACGGTCGTCCTCCCGCCGTCGGTCCCGCTCTCGCTACCGCTAGTGGGGGACATGTCGGCGCGCCGGGGTAGGTTGAACGAAAACGACGGGGTTATCGCGCTGTTTACGCCGACCCCTGAGCCCTGCGCCGCGCCGAATCCGAAAGAACGAGAGCCGGAGAAAGTGGCCGAGGCCTCGTCCATGGGAGCCCTCGGCCATCTCCCTTCCCCCTCCCTTCTTCCTCCTCCTCCCTCCTCGCTGGCGACGTTTCCTGCGGGGCTTTGTTCGCGGCTCGCCGCCGAAGAACGGGCGCTGCTGTTATCACCGCCGCCGTCTCTCCCTCCCGCTGCAGCCATGCTAGCGCCGAGGGGGAAAGCCATCGACGGCGACGGCGACGACGAAAGCGACGACGACGTCGATGACGGCGGTGCCGTCCTCGTGTCCCGTGGGCTCCACGACAGGGGGCGCTCCGACGCCGACGCCGGCGCCGCGGCGACCCCGCCGCCGCCGCACGAGAAAGGGATGGGCAGTGGAAGCATCTGCCGCAGCTGGGGCTGCTGCTGCTGCTGCTGCTGCTGCTGCTGCGGGTGCTGCAGGATGGTCTGGAACCGCCGCTCCTCGGCCGAGAAGGAACGGACGAGGGTGTGGCGTTGGTGGACGGCCTGGTGGTCGCCCGGGTACGGCTCCAGACGCCGCCGCCGCTGCTGCGGCTGCTGCAGCAGCTGCTGCTGGCCCGTGACGATCGCTTCGAGCGGCCGTGTGCCGATTCCGGCGGCCCCCGCCGGCGTCATGGTCTCTCCTTGTTGGAGAAGAAGCGACTGCCGCTGCTGGGCGACGTATTCCTTCGCCGCGGTGCCCAAGTCCGGCGAGCAGCTCCGTCGGCGTCGGTCCAGGGGAGATGCTGCTGGTCCGCCGGCGGAGGAGTGATCCACGGCGGCGGCGCTCCCCTCTTTCTGCTTGTGCTGCTGCTGCTGCTGCTGCTGCTGCTGCTCGTAGACCCGAGCAACCTTGCGATAGCCGTCGCCGTCGCCGTTGTAGTCGTCAACGACCATCACGCTCGTTGGGTTCCCGCTGCTGCTGTTGCTACTGCTGTCGGCAACCCCGCCGCCACCGCGCTCCTCTGACCAGCATGCTCTCCTCCCGGCACCATCCTCCGATCCTTGAGAAGCAGCAGCTGCAGCAGCAGCAGCAGCAGCAGCAGCAGTAGGGGCAAAAATGCCCCCGCTTGCGACGACCATCATCGGCGCTACCCCGGACGAGGAAGGACCGCCGACCGCCGCCGCCGCCTCCGCTTTCACCGACGAAAAGCCGCCGCCGGTAGCAAGTGTGCTTGATGGAGCAGCGACAGGGGCAGGAGGAGCAGGTGCAGCAGCGGCGGCGGCGGCGGCGGTGACGGCCCGCCCCCTGCCCGAGGGGACCATCCCTTCCCGTCGGTGGGCGTCGCAGAACTTCTCCTTCGTGCCCGGGAATGCGAAGTTGGAGAAGCCGCGGCACCCGTCCGCCGCGCACCGCCTGGCGTAACGGATTCAGTGCCGTTGTTGAACGGAGGGAATTATGTTAGTATTGTGAAGTGTTATTGCTGTCATCGCCTAGAACCTTTTGCTTGCATCACACGTTTCGGACAGAGCGCGTCGGGCGTCCGAAGAGAGAATATAGGGGAACGGCAGCGGCCAAGTATCGAGCGAGCCGCATGATCGGTGGGCGGCGAGACCCCCCCCCCAAAAAAGGAACGGAGTGCAACCAGCAACCTCAACTGCGGTGACGGTTCATGGCGTGATCTTCACTTCGGCATGAAAAGGGAGACCAACTCTTGGCCGTTTACCTGTGCTTCACGTCCACCATGGTAGGCAGCTTGTGCGTCGAGCAGTAGCAGGCGCGCTGCCCCTCGTAGCCGTAGTTGGGCTGCTTGGTGCATGAGGGAAACTCGCAGCTGCTCCATTTTTTTTTTTTTTGTGGTTACCCGCCAGGCCACCACCATCGTTGGGACGCGAACGGAACCCAACAGGAACATCGGCACGAAAGGGTCAAGGTCAAGAGAGGGTGGCAAGAACGGCGAAGGGAAGGGAAGTCAAGCGCGGGCCTGTCTGACGCACGACGTTTTTTGGACGCCCAGAAGTATTCTAAATAGTACGCTCATGCGCACTTGCACCTCCGGAGTGCGATAAGAGAGGAGGCCGATATCGTTCTTCTTTACCTCCAGAATTACTACGTAATAAACACGCTTCGGGGAAGGCACAGCGGGCCAACAGCAACACAGCCAAGGGCAAACAACACCAGCAGCGAACCACAAGCGCTCACCGGCGGTGTCGAACGTCGACCATCGCTTCGTGTGGCTTATGCCTGGCGCAGAATTTCGCCTTGCCCCCAATATGGCCGAAGTAGGGCTCCTG